ACAAGCACACGAAAAGATGCTCCATGCCATTAGTCATTAGGGAGAGGCAAATCAAAACAACAATGAGATACCACTTCATCACCACTAGGACTGCTATTACTAGGGGGAAAAAAAAAAAAGTAAGTGTTGGTGAGGATGTGGAGAAATTGTAACCCTCATCCATTTGCTGGCAGGAATGTAAAATGATGCAGCGAATGTGGAAAACAGTTTGGTGGTTCCTTAAAAAGTTGAACATAGAATTCCCACCTGACCCAGCAATACCATCCCTAGGTCTATACCCAAAAGATGTGAAAGCCAAAAGTCAAACAGATACATGTACACCAATGCTCATTGTAGCATTATTTGCAATAGCCAAAAGGTAGGAAAAACCCATGTGCTCATCAATACATGAATCGGTAAACAAAATGTGGTATATACATATAATGGAACATTATTCAGCCATAAAGACAAATGAAATTCTGATACATGCTATGACATGGATTAACCTTGAAATCACTATGCTGAGTGAAATTAGTCAGACACAAAAGGACAAACGTTGTATGCCTGTACACGAAATATCTAGAATAGGTAAATGCATAGAGAGAAAAATTTATCAGTGGTTACCAGGGGTTGGAGGGAGGGGGAAATAGGAAGTTACCGCTTAAGGGGTACTTAGTTTTTGTTTGGGGTGATGAAAAACATATGGAAATAGATAGTGAGATGGTTGTACAACACAGTGAATTCTCACTAAATTGTACACTTGAAAGTAGTTAAAATAGCAAATTTTTTGCTATATATATTTTACCACAATAAAATTAAAACCAACAAAAAACGACAAGAAGTATGTATCTATGTGTATGGTACTATACACAGGAAAAAGGGCTGGAAAAGTTCACACAAAACTGTTAACACACTAGTCAACTAATGGCTAATCACCTCTTGGGACCCAGAGGGGTGGGAGCAAACAGGGGCCTTTCACTTCTTGCTTTATACACCTGTGTATTGTTTGAAATTTTCCCACAATGAGCATGTATTGTATTCACAAGCAAATACAAACGCCCTCAAGAGCCTGGCAGGTCCCAGGAATGTGTGAAGCAGGAGGGTACAAGACAAGGGGATGAATAGCAGGAACAGTGGTGAACAGGACAGAGACGTGCTCAACAGAATCACTTTCTCAGGGGTTTGTAGGTATCTAAACACTGTGCTGGCAAACCAAACACTTTTTTGGACCCTATCTGACCTACTAACAGGGACCCAAATCTTCCACAAAACCGTCAGCGCTGCAGCTCTTACAATGGTTTCTAATAACAGGAGGATACTGTTTTCTCACTTACCTCTGGGCCCAAGAGGGAAGAAATAAAAAAGGCAAGCTGCTTTCCCTTACAATAGTAATAAGGCCTAACATCGGGAAATTATTCTAAAGCATGAATTTAAAAAATAATGTATTTAGGAGATATTAAGAGTGTCTTAATTTATGTAAAGGTCTGTAAAAATTTTAGGAAGAGAAACAGAGTGGTATGTTGGTAAATTTTTACTTTTAACTAAAACAGATTAGTATTAATATTTTTAAAGCAAATTTGACAACATAATTTATTTAACTGAACACTTGGTGGCAGCAAAAGGCTATATTTTAAATAACAGCACACTGTGCTTAGTGAGAAGCCCTCGTGGTGCAGTGGTTAAGAGCTCAGCTGCTAACCAAAAGGTCGGCAGTTCAAATCTACCAGCTGCTCCCTGGAAACCCTATGGGGCAGTTCTGCTCTGTCCTATAGGGTCGCTATGAGTCAGAATCAACCCAACGGCAACAGGTTTGGTCTTCTCTTTTGGTGGTTGGTGAATCAGGGTGCTTGTCAGTGAGCAAGGCCCCAGGAGGCACTGAAAGGACAAGAGATGCCTGCGCCCTGGCTCTGGCCTCCTGTCCCTGACCTGATGCTCACAAGGAGGGGCCCTCAGAGAACAGAGCCTTAGCTGGCCTCTGCTCAGCGACTATGATGGGATCAACCTTTTGCAGAATCTAGCTGATCTGAAAGAATAATGCTACAGCATCAACAAACAATCTATTCTTCTCTATTATTAATAGGTTATATCTTTCTCATCTCACTATTATTTCCCACACACAAATATTTACTTCAGAGAAAAAATGATTTTTTTTGATATTAAAAAATGGTATCTAAAGATAGTCTGTCAACAAAATTAGTTTAGTAATAATTTAGGGAATGCTAAGAACACCTATTTCCAATAAATTATATTACCTTGGCCTCTAGACTCACTCAAAATTTTAGTTGTTTAAAAAGTATTCTATTATTCCTCAAAAAGTTAAACACAGATTTGCCATACCCAGCAATCCTAGTCCTAGGTATATACCCAAGTGACTTTAAAGCAGGGACTCAAACTAATACTTGTACACCAATGTTCACTGCAGCATTACTCACAATAGACGAAAGGTGGAAACAACCCAAGTATCTACCAACAGATGAATGAATAAAGAGATTGTGGCACAGGCAGTCCCCGGATTATGAACTAGTTCTGTTCCTAAATCTGTCTTTAAGTTGAATTTGTACGTAAGTTGGAACGCTTAGGTACAGTTCATATCTAACGTCAGTTAGTCAAATGTTTGCCTTAGTATATACTATATATATACACATATGCATATTTTCTACGCATACAAAACTTTAAAGAAACACTTCCAGATACACTAAAACACCTTTAACATAATAATACTATAATAACGTTTTGATGCGCATTGCAAAGTAGCACCCACTTGTTATTACAAACTATTGCATTGTATATATCTCGAATTTTTAATATAATAGACTTTACAGGGGTTGGTTCAGGGGCTGGTTCATAACTACCAGTTGTAGCGTTGTATTAAATCTGACGTTGGTAACCGGGGGACTGCCTGTATATACATACATTGGAATATTACTCAGCCATAAAGGGAAATGAAGTTCTGTTACATGCTACTGACTACGCAAAGGCATTCAACTGTGTGAATCACAACAAATTATGGATAACATAGCGAAGAATGTGAATTCCAGAACACTTAATTGTGTTCATGCAGAACCTGTACATAGACCAAGAGGCAGTTGTTTGAGCAGAACAAGGGGATACTATGTGGTTCAAAATCAGGAAAGCTGTGGTCAGGGTTCTATCCTTTCCCATACTTATTCAATCTGTATGATGAGCAAATGATCCGAGAAGCTGGACTATATGAAGAACGGGGCATAAGGACTGGAGGAAGACTCACTGACAACCTGGGATACGCAGAAGATGCAATCTTGCTTGCTGAAAGTGAAGAGGACTTGAAGTACTTATTGATGAAGATCAAAGACTACAGTCATCAGTATGGATATACCTTAATATAAAGAAAACAAAAATCCTCACAACTAGACCAATAAGCAACATCATGATAAATGCAGAAAAGACTGACATTGTCAAGGATTTCAGCTTACTTGGATCCACAATCATCGCCCATGAAAGCAGCAGTCAAGAAATCAAAAGACACATTGCATTGGGCAAATCTGCTGCAAAAGACCTCTTTAAAGTGTTAAAAAGCAAAGATGTCACCTTTTAAGGACTAAGGTGCACTGGACCCAAGCCATGTTGTTTTCAATTGCCTCATATGTGTGCAAAAGCTGGGCAATGAATAAGGAAGGCTGAAGAATTGATGTTGAATTACGGTGTTGGCAAAGAATACCAAATATACCATGGACTGTAAGAAAAGCAAACAAATCTGTCTTGGAAGAAGTATAGCCAGAACGCTCCTTAGAAGCAAGGATGGCAAGACTTCATCTTACATACTTTGGACATGTTATCAGGAGGAACCAGTATCTGGAAAAGGACATTTATGCTTGGTAAAGCAGAGGGTCAGGAAAAGAAGAAGACCTTCAATGAGATGGATTGACACAGGGGCTGCAACAATGGGCTCAAGCATAACATGATCGTGAGAATGGCATAGGACTGGGCAGCGTTTTGTTCTGTTGCATATGAGGTCACTGTGAGTTGGAACAGACTCGACGGCACCACACAACAACAATAACAACAACAGGGGTTGGCGGGAGGAGGAAACAGGGAGTTACTGCTTCAGGGGTACTTAGTTTTTGTTTGGGGTGATGAAAAACACGAAAATGGATAGTGGTGATTGTTGCACAACACAGTAAATGTAATTAATGTCACCGAATTGTACACTTAAAAATAGTCAAAATGGCAAACTTATTGTTATATACACTTTACCACAATTTTAAAAATCTTTATCATGACGTTCTGCTTACACAGCTATACAAGTTAAACAATAACAAAAAATTATAAAATCAGTTTAGAGAATTACATTATATCTCCCTGGTTTTTAAATGTTACTTCCTGACAGAATAGGCTACACCTTCCTTTCAAATGGGAGGAGGCTATAGGGTCTGGGGCCATTCCAAACAGGTTGTAGAGTGAGGCGCTTCTACCAGCAGAGATGTGGCCAAACTTTAGGATATAAGAAATAGGTATTTAGGACATAATTTAAGTAAGATTTCTCAAACAACTGTCTCGTTTTCTGCTTGACCTCTAACTCCTCCCACCCCCCATCCAAGTTCCTTGCTCATCAAAAATGAGGTTTCAAATACGGCAAAAAATAATAATGATAATAGGAGAATCTGGGTGAAGGTATTTGGTAGTTCTTGTCCTTTTCCTGCAACTTTTCTCTTGAGTTTTAAATTAAGTCAAAATGAAAAGTTTAAAAAAAATGAAGCCTTCTGCAGTATTAGCTGAGCAGCAACATGAACATCAGAGCCATGTGGTCCCTCCCTCATCCCTGCATCCACAATGGCTAGCACACAGTCTAGGCAAACCAGGCGATCCACAAATGTTTTCTAAACATAACCATATTTTGAAACATGACACAATCCCATAGTCTATTTTGACCTTCAACACTGACAAAAAAATTTTAAACTATTAAACTCTCTTGTCTCTGGAGGATTACAACAACAAAATGATTGTGATTTAAAAAATAAGATTAATATGGTATCACTACTTACTCTATGAATTATACCAGCTGAATGCAGATGTTTAATACCACAAAGCATCTGGTAAAGAAGGTATGACATTCTTTCATGGTCCAACTCCATATGAATAACCTGACATAAGTTAGCATCCATTAATTCCATGACCAAATACCTGAGGAAAAAAAATTATCAGCCATGTATACATGAAAATTAATCCAAAATTTCTCAATTGTTGTGAAATAGTAATAATTTTTTCTTATCATGGCACTGGCTAAAGTAAAAAGGTAACTTGTTTTTGCTAAAACATTTATAAGGTATCTTGAAAAGAAGTAAACGTTTAATGGAACTTTGTAAAAATGTTCCAAAGAATATAAAACAACTGACCTATTACTATATCTTTTGAGTTAAAGACACAGCAACTTATACATCATGATAAACAGAATCTTATACATTCAAATTCTCCTATATCATTAATTGTTTTGCTATTAGCTCATTTTTATCAGCACACAAACCATGCTGTTTTTTCTCTCAAAAAACCTTTTGACCCCTTTCCCCATAAGCTCCTGTCCCTTTTTTGTTTGTTTGTTTTTGCTCCTTTTGTAGCAGAACTCCCCAAAGTGACCACATTCTCCCATCTTTCTTAATGCCACTTCCATCAGGCTTTGGCCCCCATCACTCTGCTGAAACTGTCTTCCTCAAAGTCACCGATGACATCATGATGCTAAATCCAATGGTCAATCGTCACTTGACCACACAGACCATCGCACCCTCCTCCTGGACCTCCCTTAGCCTCCAGGAAGTCACCCTCCTGGTTGCTTTTCCTTCCTCCTTGGCGGCTCCTTCTCAGTCTCCTTGGCTGGAACCTCCTCCTCTCCACAACTCCTCACCCCTGGGTGCTCGGCACTCAGTCCTTGGCCCTCTTCTCTTCTAACTATACTCACTCCCTTGGCAATCTCCTCCAGTCTTGCAGCTTTAAATATTATCTATCCATTGTCAACTCTCAAATCTGTATCTTTAACCCAGACCTCCCTCCTGAGACCCACATCACACATCCAACTGCCTACTTCACATTTCCACTTGGATCTCCAATAGACATCTCAAAATCCATGTCCAAAACTGAACTCCTGATTCCATATCTCCCTAGCCAAGCCCGCTTTTTCCTGTAGCCTTCCTCATCTCGCTGACAGCAACTTCATCCTTCAGGTGCTCAGACCAAAAATGATGATGCCATTCTCAACTCCTCTCTCTCATGTCACACGTGCTATCCATCAGGAAACACTGTGACTCTACCTTTAAAACAGTTACAGCATCTGATTGCTTTTCTTAATCCTCACTATTAGCCCTCTGGTCTGAGCTGAGTCACCCTAGTCGCTCACCTGAATTGCTACAATAGGTTCCTAACTGGTGTTCTTGGTCTCCACCCCTTACAGTGGATTCTTATCCAAGAAGTCAGAGTTAATCTTTCAAAACGTAAGTCAGGTCAGGACACTCCTCTGCTTAAAACCTTACTCTGACTTCCCTTAGAGTAAAAGCCAAACTCCTTACAATGGCCTACAAGGCCCTAGGCAGTCTGGCCCTATCAAGTCTCCAAGCCCCTCTTCTCCTAATGTCCCCATTGTCCCTCTGCTCCATCCACACTGGCCTTCTTGATGTTCTTAGACTATACCTAGCAGGCTCACTTAAGTTCCTATGCACTGCCTGTTCCTTCTGTCTCGATTCAATCTTCCTCCAAGTATCTGTATGACTGACCCCCTCACTGCCTTCAAGGCTTTCTTCAAATGTCATTAACTCAGTGAGGTGCTCCCCAACCACCCTATTTAAAATTGCATTCTCACCCCCAGCCTCCAGTGTTTCTGATCCTTCTTAGCCAGCTCTAACATTTATCCATAGCAGTTATCACATTCTAACCAACTAGATAATTTCCTTACTTATTATGTTTATTGTCTGTCTTCCCTTGGTAAAATGGCAAGGTACAGGAAGAAGTATTACCAATTACATTTCTTAATTAATAAAGGGGATTTTTGCCTGTTTTGGTCATTAAGTATGCTAGCAGTAAGAGAGTGCCTAGTACATAGTTGGCAATAAATAAATATTTGTTAAATGAATACTCCAATGTATTTAGAATGAGGCTGAATACTAGGCCTCAAATTAATAATAAAATTTATGTTTCATTTCTTTTGTTAGTAAGATAACTCTACAATTTTGGAAACATACAATTTTTAATGACTAATCATTTCAAACAGTAATTGTAAATACCTGAATCCTATAATCCTGGCTATCAGGAGGATGGAGAAAAACATGTTTCAGTAAAAACATACATGTCTCAGCAGATCAGCAGCATTAATGAGGCATTAATGGTCACTGTCAGCTCTAAAGAATTCTTTTCAGTCAACCTTTATTTGTTATGGAGATTACGACCTGCTAGTCTTATCAATCATAAACAGCTGAATATTACTCTCCATTTTTCTTAATATTTATCTTCCACAGAGAAAAGTGATGGTATCATTAAAAATGTATTCCCACCACCATTTCCTAAGTAAAAAAAAGGAGCTATTTTCCTTTCTAAATTTTTAGGTTTTGATGCATAGTACATTACTGAATAAAAGTGATACTTACACATCTTGAAATTCTTCTAGAGTTTTTTGTGGTGTAAACACATTTAACAAACTAATTATCTGAAAAGAGAAAATTAATTATACCTCAGTATGCCAGATGACTCTAACGATTATAAAAACTAACTTTAACACTAAGATGTACTAAAATTGGAAAAAAATCACAGCAGAGTTCAGTATTTATTATTATTATTGCTTTTAACAAAACATTCTATTATATGGCACTTTAAGAAAGATAAAGAATTAGGACTCTCACCTTGGAAATACAGTGTACTTTTAGTCAAATCACTTTTAAGTGTCCTTAATAATTTAAATTATTATTATTTACAGAACTTTAACACATAATAGCTTTCTGTCTCAGAACATAGAAAAGAAATTATGGGTGGAAAAACACTAAATAAAGAGATTTATTAACTCTGAAAGCTTAAACGCTATATACAAATTTCTAAAAAGTTTTCAAATATGAAGGCTAAGCTCATATTTTTGGTACGATAAAGATGAAAAGACCCCACAGCACTGTTTATTTATTTAAGCACTGCCGGCCTAGAGGGTTAAACACCTGACCCTGCTGTGGGCCTCTTGCTGGCATTCCCTCCACAAGGCTGCTGCAGAAACCGAGTCCCACTGCTTCAGCAGGAGATGCACATTCTCTATCCTTCAAATGGTAAGGGTAAAGACAAATTACTCAGTAAATGGGATTGGGGTGACTGGCTAGGCAGGGAAAAAAATAAAACTGGATCCATACTTCAATACTTATACCAAGACAAATTCAAAATGGGACAGGGCTATAAATCTGGACATGAAACCATACAAACATTAGAATATGGATAGACATTTATATAATCCTGATACAGAAAAGGCTTTTCTAAGCGTGACAGAAATCCTAGGAAATTTAATTACATTAAAACAACACCAAGAACAAACAAGCAAAGAACTTCAGTGTGGCAAAAAGCACATAAACAAAGTCAAATGAGTTAAAAAAAAAAAAAAAAAAAGCCTTAATATACACAGATCTTCTATAAATGCATAAAAAAGAGGCCAACAGTCCAAGAGAAAAATGGACAAAGACCATGAAAATCAAATTCTCAATAGAATAAAAATAAAGGACTAATAAACATATGCAAAGAAAGAAATGACAAATAAAAATATCATTTGTCATCTGTAAGACTTTGGAAAAAGACATTCTCAGATATGCTTACTGAAAGTGTAAAACTGATAGTCTTCCTTGAGGTCAATTTGTCAGCATATACTAAAATCTGAAGGGTGCATACTCTCTGACCCTGCAATTTCCAGCTAAGAAATCCTGGTACATCGGACAAGTGTGCAAAGATGTGTAAGGATGTTCACTGCAGCACTGCCTATAACAGCAAAACACTGGAAACAATCTAAATTCCAACAATAGGTGACTGGTTCAATAAATTATAGTGCATCTGTACTATGTAGCCATTAAAAAGATGGTGTATATCTATGTACATTAGTGTATATGAGATTAAGAGACATACCATGCAGAACAGCATGATGGACAGGCTCTTGTTTATGTAGATACACACATATATGCATAAGAATGCACACCAAAATGTTAACGGTAGTGATCTGTGGGATTCAGGATTTTTTGCTTTTGTATTTATAGTGTTTGAATTTTTTAAAAATAATAAGCATTTCTTATAACTTGAAAAAATTAAAAAAAATAAGTAAAATACAGCACGCATTAGAGAAATTAAAAAACAAACCCAAAATACAGGCTCAAATCAACCCAATGTTAAAGAGAGCCATATATAATTTAGTGTAATCTTAAATACTAATTAGAAAAAAAGAGAGAGACCATATGAGGTGACCTCCAAGGCTTCTTCTGGATTTAACATTTTATGGTTTTACAATATGGCAAGGTTATCAAAATAATGCTCAGAGACCACCTGGACATACAATGTACCTGTGCATCACTTCATTTTCTAAAGATATACTATTTCTCTTTAAAATCCACAGTGCTTTGATTTCTGTGGCAATGCTTGAGTGTAACATCATCTAATAATATTTATTTAAAACTAAGATGTCAGTATTGCAAGGAAAAAGCTACTTATAGAACAATGCTTTTCCAAAAAATACTTAGTTGCTTCTCAGTTTGTTAGGTCAATATTGTTTCCATTTTATAGAAATAGAACTAACAGAAACCAAACAGTTACAGGGTTAATCTATTCCTAGCTTAGCTGAGTGACCTAAATTTCCTATGGACCATGATGCCTCTCTTTCTAACTTCAATTTTCCCCACTTTTAACTAAGAATTCTGCCGATAAAATATAGCTATTTTAATAGTCACTTTTATCACTATTTTATCCTAGGTCTAAACTCAATGTATCTCCAAAAGACCCTGAAGATTATCATATCAGTGACAATATTAAAATATATAGAGAAAATATATACATATATAACTTACATTTTTATGATTGACACATTTTAAGAGAACAAGTTCACGATAAGCTCTCTTTGCATGGGTTTGATTCTGAAAAGGACGGCTTAGTTTCTTGACTGCAACATTTATCCCAAGAACTGTATCAAAAGCAGCACTATAATTAGGAAATATAATACACAATCCATTAGAATGGTCTTGGAAAGTGAAGCAATGTAGACTATACATTTAATGTACTATCTTTTTATGAGAAACAAGTAAGGAAAACTCTTTCTGAATGTACTTGGAAATCACTGAAATGAGAGGCTGTGACCACATGACCAGAGGATACTTTAGCTGTTCAACAATAAATTAGCCTATACATCCTGAGATAATCTTAAAAACAGAAGCACAATTAGAAGTCTGCTTGTTTCCAAAGTACTTCTATATATGAAAAGCAAGGCAAGTTTGCAGGATGGACTAACTCCTTTGCAGAGGCATGGACATTTCCATTGCAGATAGGATAGGAATCAGCAATCCTTGGCACATCGAATTTTCATTATATTAATAGAGATTTTGTTCAGAACCAGGAAATTTAATACAAAGCATGTAATACTGGTCAATAAATGAAATTTTAAGTTAACTTGAAACACGTTATTAAATTGGAAAAAAAAGTCACTGGTTATCACAGATTAAACGTGAGTGTATTCTGGAGTATCTCAATGGAGGAAATGGTTGTGCTCATGAGAGGAATGCAATAAATCTAAGTTCTGAATGATCATGTTTTTCCTAGATGAAAGAATCTAAAAGAAAACAGAAGCCAAAAATCTCAGCTAACAGCAAAGCCCTAAGACACAAAATCCCTAAAGTAAGCAATGCTATATATAAAATTCTACTAAAAATAGCTTCTTATACTATTATAGTAAGAGTAAAATCTTTTACAGGCTATGCTTCCAAGATCTCAAGTTCCCAGCTGAAATTTAAGGCTCATTTTTCCTCTAGAAAACAGACAAGAAAAATTGAGTAGCCTAATTGCACATTGTTGAGCTTCAAACTAGTATTAAAATAGTACTGTTGATGTCATTACCCTTTGGCTACCACCAAGGGTCAGAAGTTGCTAAAGACCACCTGCGAGCCTAAGCACCATTTTAAATATTGCTTTTATGTATTTGGAAACCCTGGTGGTGTAGTGGTTAAGAGCTACAGCTGCTAACCAAAAAGCTGGCAGTTCGAATCCACCAGGCCCCCCTTGGAAACTCTACGGGGGCAGTTCTACCCTGTCCTGTAGGGTCACTATGAGTCGGAATCAAGTCAATGGCAACAGGTTTGGTTTTGATGTATTTATTCTATTTTGTTTATAACCCAGTTTACACTTATTCTCTTCTATTAATGGTATTTTTTGGTCAAAAAACTCTCAATGAATTCAATCTTTTTAAGTTGAAGACTTTGCTGTAGCTTTGGTTAAAAATTATTAGAAACTTCATTATCTGACTTTGGAATTATTTTATTCAGTTTAGTTCACATTTGTGTACATGTACACACATATGTAAATTCACATATCCATATGCAAATGTTCCACCTGTATGAATTATAAAATGTTCAAGGTAATTCTTTGTGAAACAAACCATCAATTAATGCATATGTACACATATGTATATTTGTACCACATATATTTCCCAGTCTCAAGAAATTGAAAAAAGACAAATTTCACACTTTTTGTGGTTTTAAAAGTTTCTGCCCAAAATGACCCAAATGGACCAATTTTGAGTATCTGAGTAAACTCTTCTCCATTCCCAGTTCCATCTCCAAGATCAACTACCTTCAATTATTTCTAGTTTTAGTTCTTGTGGTCTTTTCTTAGCTCCAAATAATATACTTTCATCACTATTTCTTCATTTATCAACTTCAGAAATTTTCTATTTACTCCCCATTATAAAAACTGAGGATTCAGTCACTTATCTGAAACTGCAACTCCTCCCAGTTTTTTATTCTTATATTATTTTTAGTTTTTCCCTTGGTTATCTCTGTAACGTTAAATAGCACATTTAAACTTCCTTAAATAGCATGCTTAAACTTCTTGTTCAACTAACTTTCAAAGGAATCTCTTGACTCCCCAGGATATAAAATGAGATTATTATATTCCATCTCCTTTTTCCACTTCTCTACCCCACTCCCTTTTCCTACAAACGTCTGTCTTAAATGGTCAAGTTTGATAACACACATATACTAAAATGGTCAAGTTTGATTAACACACATATCCTTCTTTAGGATGTGTCTAAGTGTTGAAAATCAGTACGTACATAGACGTACATTTGTGTCTGCACATGTAAATGTTATTAATTGCAGTTAGGATTATACATAACTTTCTAAAGATCACATGACCCTTGGTGCCACTCATAGGAGAATGAAACTGCTTCCAGCATCAAGGTCAAACGCATTCTTTTTTCTTACATTCCATCAACTGCTCAAGAATCACATCCCTTTTGTTTTATATTTAGACCATGATTTTTTCTGGTTTTTCCTCATAAGTTCCTAATACTTTCTCTTTTCTTATTAAGAGAAGACAAATGTACCTTCTTTAGCCTATCACTAGGACGTTTTAGCTTCTCACTCGTGTTATCTATTGTTTGAAATCTATTTCATTCTTCTTAAAAGACATCTGATTTGTCTCAGAGAAAACAGCCTTGTTCTCTCAGTATCCCAAAAGCCCCCCCACAACTGAACACTATCCCTTCTGCCTCCCCAAAGACAGTAACTACTTCTGACATTTAGTATCATTACTTCCTTGTGTTTACTAGCTAAACATACATCCCCAAACCCTCCATGGCTTATTTTTGTCTGTTTTTTGAGGTCTTCTGTGTCTGGTTTCTCTCACTCAACATTCTGGCAAGATTCACCACGTTGTCGTAAGTAGCTATAATTCATTCTCTGTCACTGTTATAAAGTGTTCCTTTGCAAGACTGTAGTACAATTATCTATTTTACTGTTGATAGATATTGGGTTGTTTTCAGTTTTCAAGTGATTACAAAAACAGTCACAAACATTCTTGCACATGTCTCTAGGTCTCATATGCGTACATATCTGATGAGTAGATAGCTGAGAGTGGAATTGCTTAGATTCTATTTTGGTAAATAATGCCAAACTGTTTTCCAAAATGGCTCTACCAATTTGTAGTCCCACCAGCAGTGTGTGAGAGGCCCACATCTGGGAGCTAGATGAGAGCTGCTCCACATCCTCAACAACACTTGGAATTATCAACAGTTTAATTTTTAACCATTCTGGTGGGTGGTATCTCATTGTGGTTTTAATTTGCATTTCTCTGATGTATAATGATGTTGAGTACCTTTACCTACGTTTATTGGTCATCTGGATATTCTCTTTGGTGACAACTATTTTCTATTTGGTTGTCCGTTGTTATCTTGTTGATTGGAGCTCTTTATATATTCTGAATAAGAGCCCTTTGTCAATATTTCGCTAATAACTTCTCACAGTCTATGCTTGTCTTTTCACTTTCTTGATTTTTATAAAAGAAGCAGTTTGTAATTTTAATACAAATTTATCAATCTTTTCCCTTTATGGTAAGTGCTTTTATGTCTTGTTCAAACGAGTCTTTCCCACCTCCAAGATCATGAAGACAATCCTCTATATTAGCTTTAAATAACTTTATCATTTTGCCTTTCACATTTAGAGCAAGTCAACTGAAATTGATTTTGGGGTATAAGGTAAGGTCAGCGTAAAATTTCACTTTCTTATGTGAATACTCAGGTGTCCGTTTATTTAAAAGACTATCCTTTCTCTGATGCTCTGTAATGCTACCTTTGCCATAAGTCAGGAGCCCATGTGTATGGTTCCATTTCTAGGTTCTTTCTTTATTCCATTGGTCTATTTGTCTCTCCTTGCACCAGCACCACACCATCTTAACCACCACAGTGTTACAGAAATCTTGACATCTGGCAGAGTAAGTACCTCCTCCCTTCTTCTTCAAGAGTATCTTGGACTTTCATCTTTCCATATAAATTTTAGGAGCTCTGGTGGCACAGTGGTTAAAGTGCTCAACTGCTAACCGAAATTTTAGAATCAGCTTGTTAATTTCAATTTAAAAAAGACTGTTGAAATTTAGATCGCAAACAATGTATTAACAAGTTCTTGACCATGATATATTGTTGTCAGGTGCCATCGAGTCGGTTCTGACTCACAGTGACCCTATGTACAACAGAATCAAACGCTGCCCGGTCCTGTGTCATCCTTACAATCATTACTATGCTTGAGCCCATCAATGCATATCCTACCATTATTTAAGTTTTTAAAAATTTTCAAATATTTTCTTAGCTTTCAGCACTGAAATCTTTCACAAGGTTAGATTTTTTCCTCAATACATAATAATTTTTAATCTATTAAAAATGACATCCTTTTTAAAGTTTCATTTTCCATATGCTGCTGGCACATAAAAATGCAATTTTTTTTTTTGTACACTGACTCTGTAACCTGCAACTGGCTAAACACACTCATTATGGCTAAACACACTCATTAATTTAACAAAGGGGAGATTATCTAGGTGGGTCTAATTTAAGCACATGAGCCCTTTAAAAGCAAAGAGTGTGCTCTGGCTAGTGGGCAGAAGGAGAAGTTAGAGAAATTCGAATTGTGAGAAGGACTGGATGTACCCCTGCTGCCTTAAAGATGGAGGGGGCAACATAAGAAGGAATGCAGGCAGCCTCTAGGAGCAGACAGTGGCCCTTGGCTGACGACCACCAAGGAAATGGGGACCTCATGAGAATCTATAGCTTCAAGGAACCAGATACTGCTAATAACCTGCATGAATTTGGGAATGTATTCTTCCCCAGAACTTCGATATAAGAGTCTAGCCCAGCCAAAATTTGATTTTAGCCTTATATGACCCTGAGCAGATTACCCAGTGAAGCCCATCCAGATTTCTGACCTATAAAACTACGGGTCTTGTTTTAAACCACAAAGCTTGCAGTAATTTGTTATGCAGCAACAGGAAATGAATAAACCTTTCTTCTGTATTTTCTACCCTTTTGTCTCTCCATGTTTCATTCTGGATATTTTTTTCTGACCTATCTTCTAGATCACTAATTCTCTCTTTAGTTATATTTAATAGTTGTTCATTCCCACCCATTAAGTTCATAATTCAATTACTGTATTTTTAAGTTCTAC